CCCTTTCTGATGAGGAGGCCAAATTGGCGCGCAAACGATTGCCCAGCCCAACAGTTTCTTCTGTGGCAAACTCAGCGGATGCGCATGGCTCGTCAGGTTCTTCAACCTGCTTCAACATTTCGCATACCTAATGGCCCCCGTAGGTCAACCAGTTCTTGAAGTTACCAGACCATGCGACAATGTTCGAGGGGTCATCAATCTCAAAAGATTCTGGGGGGCTTCAACACCTTGTTTGCCTCTGCCTCGGTTGTCCTTCTTGTCCAAGCGTTCGTCTGGAGGCGCTGAAAATCCAGCTGCAGTCATGGTGGCCTCGGTGAGTTGCATCACGCGACCGAACATGCGTTGTAGTCGACGCCTTTACCGGAAAACGTTGTTGTAGTTATTCATTCCATCGTTTGGATTTGCTCAAGTGGCCCTTGGGCTCTCGTCTTCTCAATCCCAAGCGTCTGGATATTTTTTGGAACACTTTCTCAACTTCCCGGCTCCTAAGGTCATGAAGAAGACCATCCGACCTTCTCATTCGCAGCCAGCAGGATCGAGCTAAAGATCTTGTAGTCAAAGGCGAACGCGCCGCAGCTCTCTTCAAGCATCATGGATCTTGGCAAGGAACTCATTCTGGTACATGTCATTCGTCATGACCAAAGTTATAACGCAGTCCGGGCGCCACTCCTCGACTTTCTGGTAGTCATTCAGGTCATCCACGCATCTCGAGTCCGAGACCCAGTCTCCGACTCTGGAGGGGAATCCTGCCAGCCAGGCCCTGAACCGCGTGCTGACCATGCATAGTGGTGCCACTTATTGGCTCCAACATGCTCTGCCATGGTGGTCCCAATCTATCTCATAGTCCTCGTCTCCAAGCGTGTGGAAGCGTCGTAGCCAACCCATGGGGCTCCAACCCCACGTCCAAATCTGGTTTTCCATCGTCCTCCAAGTCCATCGTCTAGTTGACGAGGAAGTCCATGGTGTTCTCCATCAGCTCAACACCACCGATCATCATCACGAAGAGCGCCAGCGTGGCTTCAGGTGGGGTGGGTGCCCGGCTCCGCTACCATGCAAAAAAACGCGATCGTGCCCTTTTCCTGGAGGGGCCGTAGGCCACTGTATAGGCCGCCGCGTGAAAGGGTTCTGTCATGACATGGTGAAACGCGCAACTTCTGACAGACAAACTTTATAACATTTGCGCGCCCAGCCGCACCAGCACAGAACGCCATTGACAATTCACCCTGTCTTCCCCTCTGCCTTTTTGTTCAGCTTTCTTAGAATCTTGCGAGCGACTTCTATCCTATATGTGTTCCTCTCTACAACGGCAACATTGGGTTTAAAAAAGCTTCAACGCCGCAATTGATACACCTTGATACCTTCAACGCGCACAGTGTGATTGAACATTTCTGGCGTGCGTCGCATGAGTCTCGCACTCAGAAATGCATCTTTCAAGTTTGAACCCGCAGTCGTTTTGATGCAAATTCTGTCGCGCTGCCTCTTCACCGCTTTGAGCCATGCGCACCACGTAGCTAGGTGGACTAAGGCTGTGGTCCACCGCCACTACAGACGCAAGCTGTCCTGCCAGATCAGTCCATGCAAAGGAATATCTGATGCGCTATGACCCGCGCCAGCAGCCCAAATCCAAATGGAAGCTGAATTGTTAACACTACAATGGCCCAGGCTTGCATTCAACTTCCAGATCAAAATGCCTTACGCACGAATGAGAACAAGTTAAATTTGGTTTTATGTGAAAACTAAGAAGTGGATTACCAAAAAGGCTTGCATCTAGATTCGAGAGTGTTGCAGAATGACACAGCCAGGTATATGGACAGAGGTTAAGTCTGAATTCAAGACTTTTGAAATCTGGTTTCCAGTCGTTTTCTGGCTTTCGTACACAAAGCGCCTAAACAGCCTGAAATCTAGACTGGAGCATAGTTGTCAATATGCTTTTGGTGTGTTTTTCTCCGGAGAGCGAGAGCTGGCTGACTTCAAGTATAGGAAGAGGTGCCTGTGCGCTTTGGAGCCTGGCCATTCTATTTGTTTGAGAAGAAATTGGTCACCGATGCGACCGGCCTCTGAAGAGGACCGGGTCTTTGCAGTCCCCGCCCAAAGTGGCCAACCTCTTCAACTTTTCAAGTCGGATCGGATTGGGCTAACATGCGGCATGCAGTTGTGTACGATGCACCAGAAAACGGGCCCTGTACTCCACTGGCTGGCTGACCCATGGTGACCCATAGCCCCAGCCGGTCCATGCCTCCGGTCGTTGGCTGGTCTCCAACTATGGCACCGACATAACCATAGACCAAGCTTCGATATCCCACTTGGAAAGCCATGGCCACCTAAATGGGGGTTGATTTCGATCGGCGACTGAACTCTAGACAAGGATTTCTCGTCACAGTGATCAGCATGATATTTGCGTGCACTGTGGTCGGTTCGTTTAACCATGGCGCACAGTACATGGATGATCCCCCTGCTTCCAAGAAAGGAACAAGTGCAGAAGGTAAACATCTAGCTGACAGGCACCTCGTGATTCCAAAAGTTTTACACATACACACACACACACGGCTTATGGAATCTCTTCCTCAGTTTCCAAGATAGTTCTATCCTCTAATTCCTTCTGCCTTCCTTCATGATTCATGTACTTTTCAATTCTGTTCTTGTTTCAACTCAGTCCACATTTAGTTTTCTGAAGACCAAATTCTGACATTGGGGCACGAGCAAACAGCACCCCAAACATAATATCTAAGAGCCCCAAAAGTAGTTCCTGATTGCCTTCCGTTCTTGCGGCTGGATGTAGCAAAAGCATTCCGTTGCCAATTTGCAGGCAATTGACCAACATGTCTGTAGCTGATGCAACGTTACCGGTTCTTTCTTGTTGGTGGCTGCCAGATTTACAGTATCCTGCTTCGCCCTTTCCGGCTTTCATTCGGCTTCGACTTCCATTGCCTGCCTTTTGCTTGATCAGGGTGTCTAGCCTGAGGTTCTCGTCTATATATTCTATACTTTCATTGCTCTAGTATCCTCAGTGTGCAAACTGCACTCAACTCATACCAACTATATGCTGCACAAAACTTGCACACAAATGGTGTGATCTGCATATATACACATACTACCGTCTGGAGCTCCTTGTCTGTAAACAGCATCGCCCACATTGAGATGAGTCTCTGGCCTCAACAAAGTCAAACTTTCGACATATATAAGTATGACTCCACAATGAAAAACATGCTTTGGTACACATGCACACCGCTACCAGTCAGACCGGTGCCACCTTGAACAGTCGCAAAAGTGTAAGGAGAAGGATTGCGACGCTACATAACATGCAAGTTAATCTTGCTGGGCTTGCTTCGCAACTTCCCTTCGGTATATGTCTTCATAACATACCTGGAACCAACATGCTCCAATTCAGCCTGGATGTATCCAAATGTAACCTGGCATCTTGGTCCAAGAAGCAAAGCCCCCTAAATACATACTGCAATATATTCAACATTCCTAGACATTTCGTGCTCATAAATCCTACCGACACACTGACAAACTGCTGAGGAACCTTGGATCTCAGACCCTGGAAACTTTCAGGTTTATATATCTTTATGTCGTGTGCATATATGGATTATAAATTATATTCAGCAACTTTTCCCGATATACTTGTATTTGTGGGCATGTCACAACTAAGAAGTCAAACCCGAAATCGGATACAAACAAGGCGTTGCTGCAGTATCTAATTCATTTTCATTGACATCTCACACATATTGCAACCAGGATTGCAACCTGCTTCGGTCTTGCATCAGCTGCTTGGCCTCAAAATAAATGAATAACATTGGACTAGGTTCTTTGCCACCTTTGCTTGACGTTTTTAGGGCTTGCTCCCAAACGACACAATTTTCGAGGCATGGTTTGCTCTCACACAGTGCTGTTGAAACTCATTTCTGCATGGAGGCATGAAGACCTATCCGACGGCTATCCTGAAAATTCCAAAAAAGAAGACGGTGTCTTACCAGAATCATGATAACTATCATGACTGAAACCTTAGGGAACTCTCTTTCCCACAGCCTCTTGAGCCTGCAAGCTCTCCTCTTCAGGCTGGGGGACATAGTACAGCGCAGTTCTCCTTAGTTACAAAAAAAACAAGTGGCAAAGGATCAAGCATAGTAAACTGTACAATTTGTTGTGTCCACCTTGTCTGTATGAATCGCAATTTGCATAACCTTCCTTGACACAAAACCCTGAAGAACAAAATTCTTTGACGTGTTCGGATCCATGTTTGCCGGCAAGTGAAGAAACACATCCATCGCAATACAGCTGCAGCCTATGCAATCCATCGCCAAGAGCCTTGCAATCTTTGAATTGCACTGATTTATATAACTCTTGCTTGGCCGCATTGATTCTCCAAACGGAGACCTTTTGAGGGCCAATGGGATTGAACATTCATAATCATTCACAGGAAGGGGTTTTATTCAAGACATTCAATCCGTTTCAATATTTTACTATGGACTGAACACGGGCACGAATTTGACAATATATGGCAATATGTTCTTTCATCGCCAAGTCTCCCAGAAGGTGCTCGAAGATATACTGGGACAGCATGCGAGGCAGGCAAAACCATTTCTAATTAAAGCAGTTGCATCCAACTACTAACTAGTGTTTGCTGCAACTTAGGGGACAATTGCGAAACACAAGTACAGTTCTATCATTTTTGGAGCTGCAGGCTGCTGACTGAATCCGTAACCTACTTCGCATGAGGCGGGCTGAGAGTTAAGGTGTGTAATCTTGGATGGATTTGTTCAAAATGTTCGTGGTGTTCTTCATTGGCAAATTGAGCCTCCAAGTGCATCCAAACATTTGATCAACATGCAAAATCTGAAGAGAAACTAGATATCACATACATACATCTATATATATATACACATACATAAATTACGTAAATTATATAACTACTGTACATACACCGTGAACCACCGCTCCTCGATCTGGAAACACTGAACAATAAATACATAATTTTGTTTGCTGCCTGGGGCCCTCACCCCAAACTTTGCGAACGAACCAAAGGCGCTCGAAACCTTGACAATCAAAACAACTACCCGGATGCTGAAAATCTGTTCCAGTTTGAGGCCAAAACCACTGTGCCATCAACTGCCGTGCCTGAATGATTTATGGCTGCCCTGCCCCCCCCCTGACATAAAACACAACGGATGAATGTTGTTGGTCCAGACGTGCGTTCACCTCGGTGACTGGGGCCCAGTCCACGGGCGTGTTCCGCACAATCATGAAATGGTCAGAGATGTTCACAGTGCTTCGCCTTCATCAGACAGCATAAATATGCTGAACAACTTATCCACAGCCCAGCCTGCTCAAGTCCCCCTCTCGCAAAGGATGCCCTCAAATTAACAAAAATGAGGCACGAGCCCCGGTGAATGATACAAAATTTGGGCTCACACGTGCCAAAGCTGACGCAAAAAAGAAAAGTCGCCGTGAGGACAACCCACCTTATGGCCATGAAGCAAAACACAATGGTGCGAAAAAGTAACAAACAGCTTGTGAGCGAGAGTCGGGAAGCAAAACACTCCTTTTTGGATCGCCTCGCTGTATTGCCATGATCTGGTGGAACCTCACGAATCAGCTCGTTCTCCTTCTGATCCTTCCGTAAGAATGGGGCTGCAGCTAGTGGTCAACAGACATTGCATGAAATTGCCAACAGTTGGTCAACTGCAGCTTCCACTGCCCATCCACTGACTGCAATCACCTGCACCACTCGCGCGCCACAAGCTTGCTGCAGCATGCCGGAAGCTGCTGGAAGTGCTCCTCCTTGATAAACTGCAGTGATTGAGTCACCTTCAACTCGTCATCCCTGGGAGGTCGGAAAACCATCAAACGCCATCAAAATGCTGTGGAATGTCATGGACATGGCGCTGCTGATTGCCCTTGAGCCTGTGAAGCCGTAGGCTTTGTCTCCGAGCCAGATGTTAATTCGCCCTTACCACCGCATGTGGTGACTTGAGGCGATTGCTCTCGGCTTATGGTTCGGATGGTTGAAGAGACGACGGTCCAGGACACACCTCAGCCATCACAAGTCACAAGAGGTCAGCAAATCGCACCGCACAAACCACACATGCTAGTAGGCGTGATGCGCAAACGAACGCGATCAAGATCATCATCACGATAATCATGAACCATGATGGCTTTTCTTTCCTGCAGCATTCGCTGTAAGGTTGGCAGGATTCGCGCAGGGCAGCAGGCTCACTTGTTGAGGGATGTGAGGGCTCATCATCCCAATTTTCATGCCCGTCATTATCACGCGGGTCAAGTGCTGCTGTAATTGCCATGTACATCTGCATCAAGAACTGCTGTCGCATCAGGTCGCCATCGCCGCCAATGCCTGGCATGCACATGCGTGCACACCTGATCCAGGACTGGTCCAGCAGAAAAGCTGATGGGCTTGCAACATCTTGCAACCACAACCCCTGCCAGGAAAAGCAAGTACGAGAGCAACTGGGCTAAGCTCTTTCATCTCTGAGGTCAACTTTACCAAATGCACAATGAGACTGCGCAAAAACCAACGCTCTGAGGTGATTGGCGGGCCCATGTTGGGGAGATGGGTGCCGACAGCATGAACGAAACGGACTTTAGGGCCCGGGCGGCCCGGGGAGCCACAACCAGTGCCACCTTGAGCCACTAGTGGCTGACCACGTGACATAAGAACGTCGTCAGCATCAACATCACAACTGCCACCAAACCAAACTCAAACGCCTTTCTCCAACGTTGATCGGCTTACCTTTTCTACATGTCAGCATGCGCGGGAGCATCTCGGAGGAGGTCAATGACGGGAAAATTCAAATCTCCCGGGAACATCTGGAAACCCAAGTACTTTGGATAGGACTTTGGGAAACCACTTCGCCTCTGGATAGTGAGCACGCTGTCCACAGAAGCTTTGGGCGGATCTGGATCTTTGGGCTTGCATACAAAACGCTCCAAACCCTCCTCTATTGGCAGCCTGAAAAGGATAGCCTTCATCTTGCCGTCTTTATCGTCTTTGACATCGATGTGGACTGCAACTGTGCTCTCCTTGAAGAAACTCTTTATTGCTGGAAGGCTCAGCGCTTGGCCATGAAGATCAGCAATGGCAAACCCTTCGGTCGAGGGGCTTTGCAAGTTCGCGACCAAGTTCGCCAAATAGCCTTTCCTGATCGCAAGAACTTAACTCGTTGTGTTTGGGTTGGCCTGGCATGTTTGATTAATGCAAAGGCAATCAATACAGTTACAAACTAAGTTCCCTACAAAACCCACAAGTCTGTGAACTTGGTGTCTAAAGTGCTCTATCTATCGGCTACTGTGCCGAAAAAACCACGGACGGAACCAGTAGTTTAGTGACCTTAGTATAGCCAACACATGTTTACACCAACCTGCTGTAAGTGCTTGCAGGCACATGCGCAAGAAACAAACAAACCACTGAATTGGACTCAGCATCTGCTCCAAATATGCATATCTGATTTGTGCCTTTCCAGGTTGCAGGCCATCTTGAAGTTGACGCCACTTGCAGGCTGACAGCTGCTGGAAAGATCCATTCCTGGGACAGGCAGCGTGACTTGAGATCCAGTGCAGCTCTCGCAATGAATGATGCAATGGGTTGGGTATGGTTGGGTGGGACATGATAACAGTAGCCAAAATCTCTGCTGCATCCCTCTGATAGAAAGTCGTTGGTGCAAAAAACTCATATGACTGCACCTAGCCGAAGTCTTTTTCGGAGCATTTTGAAAGCACATTCGCATTGTCATCGTTTTGTGATGAATGAGGCAACATTATGAACTTGTCCACTTCCTTATGTGCCACACTGCTAAGTACACTTCAACACCTGTACGTTGCTAGCTAGCGCTAGCTCGAGTTGAGTTGCGACCTGCCGTCTCCTTTCTTACATCACGGGCACGTATGATGTGACTCTCGGACGTGAGTCTCGTCCTCGCTAGTAGTGTCCCTCTTCGTTGCTGTGAGCGTGTTGCCCCGAATTGTAGGTCCGATATATACCTGAAATGGACGGACGAAAGCCAGCCTCCCTAACAATATATCATTGTTGAAGGGGCGAAGCCGACATTGCACTGACCTCTGCTGCTGTTGTCGGAACGCTATCTCTGTGAGAAAGAGGTTCCGGCTTGCACAAAGTCTCGCCGCTTCTGCCCCCTAACTGGATGGACAATCATCTTGGCAATCTTATTGACCTTTCTTGCAAAGTTCTTTTTCTCTTCAAATACCTTTCTCGCATGCTCTCCTACTCTTGGTTGCTCTTCACTATGCCAAAAACCAATGAGGTTCATCAAGTACCTGATTCCTTGTCCTCCAACAAGTGGCTTGGTATTGATGTCTGCCTTGTTGCGATCTGCTGGTGCTTGTACCGTCTTGAAGTCTTTCCTGTCCTGAATCCACAGCAACTTTCCATCCAAATGTATCACCTTTCCAACTCTTCTCTTCATCACAAGTTGGCGCGCACTTGAAGAATCTGTGAAGATATAATTGTCCACCTAGGTCCCAAGAGCAAAGTCAAGAACTGAGCGAATGTAGATTCCATCTGATGCTGAAGAAACTATTGCGCACAACTCTGCTTTACATGAAGATAAGCGCATGATCTTCCGTATCCGGCTGCTGTTGAACAATGGACAACTGTTCAATGCATGGAACCCTCCGGAAGTTGATTTTATGTGGCTTTTGTTTCCACCCCAATCTGAGCCTGAGAATGTTTCCAAGCACTAGTAGCGTTCTGCTTGTGGAACCCAACTACTAGACAATAGTCCATGGCCTTTTTCAAGTATCCCAGGAACTTCTTCAAGTGGTGAAATGACATAGCTGTTGGATCTGACATTGTTGAAGCAAATTCCTTCACTGCAAATGCTACATCATACCTCTCTGGACATAGGTAGATACCTGATCCAACAATGCTTCTGAAAAGGCTGATCTTCCCTTGCTCGCGCAAGACTTCTGTTTTATCGTCCATCTGAATTGAGTGGTCTGATGGTAGTTGCTGAAGTCTGACCTTCCCAATCAATCTGTTCTTCATATGTCATACGCTTTCAGCATCTGCTGGGTGTAGTTACCTGGCTGGATCCATAGTCCATCTTTCTCAAGTTTGTACTTTCCCCACAGGAAGTTGAACTCATCACCAATCTTCTCAATTTTGCTCACGCTGGTGTCAAACCTGTCTTGATTCTTTGGAAGAAATTTTCATTGATGTACTTTGAACAACCTGTGAGAACCAAGCCATCCACATGAATCAAAATGAGACTCTTCTCATTTCTCCCTAGGCATGGACACTCAGCACTGAATGGCACTGAACCTATAATTGGCTTCCTCGGTGAGGTACTCTGTGAAAAAGTCAAACCATGCTTTTGCCCCAACTCTTTGTCCAGGTAAATTCTCTTCCCCGAGAATCCTTCTCCTCTCAAGTTCACTTTCAATGGCTTCTCTCGCGGAACCCGCAAAAATGCATCTTTCACATCAAGGCATCCTAGCGTCTGGGAAAATGCTCCTCCTCCCTCTCTTGCTGACTCTCTGCAAGGGTATTGTGTAGAAGCTTCAGTACATGTCCTGAAATCGCTGGTGAGAAAACGTCATCTCTCTTCCCTTCAGCGAAAGCAAATTCTCTTGCAACTAGTCTTGATCTTATTTTCCACCTCTTGGTTGTTGTTCCATCTTCATGGTGGTAGGGCTTCTTTCTCCAGTCATACACATTGCGTGTTGTCAGGAAACGGATTCCTTCTGTGCTACCTTCTGGTTTCTCTAGCGCTTGCATCTTCTGGAGTCTTTTCTCTTCAACTTCATCAGCTACTCTGTCTATCCATTCTTCTGGATCTTCTTCTAGCTCATCTCCTTCTTCTTCCCAGCCTTCTTCATTCCCAGTCTTCTTCATCAACTTCTTCTGCAACTGGGGATAGCTCTTCGTCTGCGTGATAAATATCTTCACCTGCAACTTTCACCAAATTGATCTTGGCTTTCTAGCTCGAATCATCTGATGGCCTGCTTCTTCATAGGGTTTTTCTTGTTCAAGCACCCTTGGTCTTGAAGGCGCTGATGGTGATCTCAATCAATATAGTATGGGAGTAACTGGATTGGGTTGTCCTGCCATTCTTTCACCTTTTGAAGCGTTTTCTCATCTGCAAAGACAACTTTCTTTCTGCTTCTTACTTGGGGTTTCCTCTCCACTTGGCCTCCTTTCACCTCCATCCCTTTTCATTGCTTCCACAGGAAATTTCAGCGGGGCTGGCGTCGGCGTTGGTTGTGGGAATAGTGCCTCTTCTTTCCCTGAGCCAGTTCCTCCTCCAAGAATCCTTGAGGTTCAACATCGCACTCGAGGAATGTCTGTCTGCGCTGCCGGCAATGCTTCTGCCTCCAAAGTTTGTTTGGTATTCCCATGAATAAGCAGTGAAGCTTTTGTAGGTTTGCAAATAATATTTGGACCAATCTTGGTCTGCTCCTCTGATGCACTTACTAGCGCTACCTGCGC